TACATTTTTCGTCTACCGGTAAGTGCTCCCCCGCAGGCAGCTACTAGGTTAGGTAATTAGTGTTAATTTGACGTTTACCGTCACACAATATAATACGAAAAAAATTATTGTACACATAGATATATATATATATATATATATATATATATGTATTTATATATTTACATTTATTTATTTCAAAACCAAGTTTTTGATACATAATTGAAACCATCCGGTAACAAATTCATATGAGTAACAACGCAATCAGAGATATCATTCTGTTCGATAACGTCAAACCTATAGTAATTTAAGTTATAGAGTTTAAAGGAATCTAAAGATTCGTCGTAATAACAGTCTACAAGATTTTTTGTTATTAAAATATACTTCAAATTGTCAAAAACAATAGCATGGACTATTTGGAATATGAGTCCTTCAGGTGAAAATTTCCCTAATACACTATTTTTTAATAACTTTATCGTAATAAATTAATAACTTAATATTTATAACAGGTAATTTACTTATTAAATGACAATATTTTGGATAATTCTCGAGCTTTTGTGCAGGTTGACTTTTATGATTTGATGATTTAAATATAGTCTGATCTGTTCTTTGTAACATGAATCTATAATTAAGATATAATTGATGTTTGATTGCAATGGTACGATTAATGTTTAAGCGACTGGTAGTAAACTGAGATATACGCTTGCCTTGTTGGTTTTTACTTTCAAATCTTAGAACGCATAATTTCCACAATAGTCCAAATAACATCATAGAACGTGGATAATGAATTAGAAAATGGTGTTTAGGTTTTAAACCACCAGGATAACGCCGAGATAATAATTCTAAGTATTCGTGAATGATAGTTTTTAAATACTGATAGGTTTGTGAATGTACTTTATCACTGGAAACTATAGTTACTACCATTTTTAAAAGTAAAATCATTTACCAATGCTCATCATTGGTTGATACTAAAAATCCTATTATTAAGTTTAAATTAAGTATTAACCAAAACATCTCTGAAGATGAGATAACAATACATCCTTGTTTAATACATTTTTCATCTAGTTCAGGACATTTGTTTACATTATAACCTGGCCCATAAACTTCCTGAAGTCAATAAACCAATCAAAACCAATTCATCTATATTTCGAGTACGAGCATCTAGATCAATTGATTTTATAAGAAATTCTCTTATTTTTTCCCACTACTCTGCCCCAATAAATTGCTTTTCTGGATATAATAAACCAAAATCGATGGAAAACTAAAAAGAAAATAAGTTATAAATATTGAATATTTTCACATCATTATGTGATTTGAGATAGAGTTTCATTAATTATTTTCTCACTAGTTCTTTTGCTGACTGTGTTTGTAAACACAGAAATTTCTTCGTATAATCTAATATACTTAACGCACTACCAATCAACATTAATCTTCGCAGATCATGACTTGATGTCCATCTTTGAACTACTTCTTCCCAAGGTTGCAAGTGTTCAGAGAGCCAATTGATATTTTCACCATCTACATAGAATAGATAATTAATTACGATGCAAAAATTTATAATTTTAGTTGAAAAAAATAGTTATAAAGAAATCATTACCATTCTCAAGCTCATCAGAATCTAAAATATTTGTTGGTCGTCCATATTTTTTATCAGCCAATAAATTATCTTCCCTTAAACACTTTTTAACGTAGTTATAATGATTCCACAATTTCCCAGTAGCTGCTATACTTTTCCGTCCATCAACTAAAAATGCACTGAAATAAGCAGCAGTATTTTCACCTTTGAAAACTTGTGCAATTTCTTTGGCTAAATTTTCAAATTGCTCTTTTGTAATTCTGAAAAAAACAAAGCGATACATTTAGAAAAAAAATTACAATTTCATTTAATATTTATATGCACGTACAGTATTTTCATGATTGTCAATACTGCAAATAAGATTTCAATGTAAGCTTAGAGGTTTAACGATATTAAGCACTTACACAAGTATATTAAAACAATCCTTTTCACTAATACTTTTTAGTTTATACTCCTTTTCTCGACTAATTACTAGTCTCACCAGTTTATATCTTATATTCCGCCTCAAAGGAATTTGTTTCTCCAAGCATCTTGCTTGCTCTTTCAAAATGGCTTTTCCACCACTCGTCTTTTTCAAAAACTCCAGCAAACTCTTACATAAAAATGAAGTTACATAAAATTATTTGCACAATTTTCACAATTTAAGGTTAGGATTTTTGTTTACTTACTGTGTCAATGTATGAGTTAGCTGGTGGATCATTATTAACATTAATTTCAAGTACTTGGCAACCTTGAATATAATTATTTTTCCCTCCCTGCAGGCAGCCGTCAAATTCTTCTACTGGTATAATAGCTTCATTGACCTTCTCTGATCTAGTAGCTTCATCCGTTCCGATTGAAATCTATAACATTGAACGTATTATGAGCTTACGTATAATAACGTAACGTTTGCTTAAAATCTTATTGTACCTGACTACATTCGTCGTCGTTCATGCTTAGAATTATCTATTTATTACTAATAACTTAAATAAACCCATAACCACACAGCCTTGATAACAAGAAAATGAAAATGAGAAAAGAATGAAGATAGATGTGGGATAATTAGACCTATCTTATTAAAAAATTGTATAGAACGTGAGATACAATCAAAATGTTGTAAAACAAGATGAACAAGTCTAAATAATGAGCAAACAGTAACTGTCATACTATAAATATTATGAAATATGTACTTACAGTTCTTTGATACAGAGCATGCCGGCAAAACCGAAAAAAAAAACAACAAACATTTCACGATCACTACTACACCACAACCTAAAAACATCGGTCAGCGCGCGATCCGAGTGTAGTATATTGCACTACATTATAAAACAACTTTTGCCATAAAATATAGTAAAAATTATACATTTCACGTAATACAATTTGTAGGTACCAAAATTTACTTTGTATTTTAGTAATTTGTATAACGTATATTATAATTTTTACTTCTCCATTGGTAATATTTATTACTAATTGAATTAAATTTTCTTATATACAGGGTGGCCCATTTTAAGTGATCCACTCAGATATCTAGATTGGAGTGAGTTTTATCGAAAAAAGTTTCAGACAAAAGTTACTCAACTTTGAGGGGGCCATGTTTCTATGACCTTGGATTTGACCTTGGAGGTCATGTTCAAGGTCATTTCAAGGTCAACTTTGTTTTTTTAAATAGGAACCCGCATTTTTGACCCCGGATTCGGAAAGAGCGGGAAATTTTACGTCCAAAACGGTATTTTTAAATTTTTTTTCATGGCCTAGAGAAGGTCGATTTAAGGTCAAATGCTTGAAAAACTGCCTAAAAGCGTTTTTTTAATTTTTAAGATATCGAAAAATGACCTCTACAAAATTTGTTCAGAATAGAGTGGGCCACCCAATGCACCAAAAACCTTTGACCTTTAACCTCATTTTGAAGGTCATTTCAAGGTCGAAGTGTTTTTTGTAATGGAAACCCCTCTTTTTGACCCCGGATTCGCACATAGCGCGAAACTCAATACAATACCTTATCCAAACGTCGGATTTCGCGCTATGTGCGTATCCGGGGTTAAAAAGAGGGATTTCCATTACAAAAAACACTTCGACCTTGAAATGACCTTCAAAATGAGGTTAAAGGTCAAAGGTTTTTGGTGCATTGGGTGGCCCACTCTGTTCTGAACAAATTTTGTAGAGGTCATTTTTCGATATCTTAAAAATTAAAAAAACGCTTTTATGCAGTTTTTCAAGCATTTGACCTTAAATCGACCTTCTCAAGGCCATGAAAAAAAATTTAAAAATACCGTTTTGGACGTAAAATTTCCCGCTCTTTCCGAATCCGGGGTCAAAAATGCGGGTTCCTATTTAAAAAAACAAAGTTGACCTTGAAATGACCTTGAACATGACCTCCAAGGTCAAATCCAAGGTCATAGAAACATGGCCCCCTCAAAGTTGAGTAACTTTTGTCTGAAACTTTTTTCGATAAAACTCACTCCAATCTAGATATCTGAGTGGATCACTTAAAATGGGCCACCCTGTATATCAATAAAAATTATAATATAAAAATATTTACTATAGGTACGTAATATTGTTTGTTAAAGGCTCAATAATTTTTAAAATGAAAGTATAATAATTCTTATTATACTCACAATAATATTTGATGAAAATAATATAATTTTTACCATAATTCTAATATATCCCAGTTTTGCTAAGATAAATAGCAAAGTTAGCTACAATAATTATGAATTTTATTAGTTCATTTCTCTCAGTGTATTAAACTTTGATTAGCCTGAGTATGCACTTCATTATGAAAAATCTAAACTATAGAAAAACAATTTCATTTTTTACCTTATTTTACTTACTTATTTTATAAACTATTTTGTACTATTTAATTGTTCTATACAAATACTGATATTTCATATATCACAGTTATCACAATTTAAATAATTATTTCATCCTCTAGTCGAATTTTTAAGAAAATTGTTAATAATTTTTATATTTACTTACTTTTATTTTAACTGCGACTCTACTACACAAGGAACACTTACAATAATTAAACGGTTTAATAGCAGTCACAATTAGTATTTTTAATTACTTTCAAAGCAATCTCAATTACTGGTAAAAAACGTTAAACGTTTTAAGAGAACGATTTTCAAACAAATCGTTATTAATCGATGACGATCGAACGTATATGTTGCAACGGTAGTCGATTCAATTAATCGAATCGTTCGCGATTCTGATTTTCGCGCGTTAGTTCTAAGTATTGACAGAGAGGGGGGGCGCGCGATCTTTTGAATTAGCAGTTACGTCTCAGCTGTTACTTGGGTAGTACCGCCAAGATAGTTTAGCACAGTGTTACAACGATTTGCCAATAAAAAGTTTACTTGGATTTTGGATACGTGTGCAAGGGTGAGCGAGGAAGCAGCAACAGTAGCAGCATCACGGAAGCAGCAGCAAAAGCAACAGCAAAAACAATACAGCAGATTTGCAATCGAGGCAGCACAGCTGATTCTGATCGGAGGAGCACCTTTAATTTGCTTCAACAATTACGGTTGATCACCGTAATTGCACCGCAGGGTAGGTGCACCTCCCTTAATTATCGCGTGACAAAATACATTTGGTATTTTGTCTAACTGTGTTAGCGTTAATTTTTTGTATTCGCGTCGAGCGTTAGATCGCGCCAATATTCGTATCTTCTCTCTCTCTCTCTTTCTCACCGAAAGTTATTTAATTGTAAATCCTATTCGCGTGCGTCAGTCTTTCGGCCCGACAAAGACTGTAGAGATTTTTATTAATAAAATCTATTAAACTTATTCGCCGATTTCGTCATATAATTTTTCCTAATAGTTTAAACAATTGAAAAAGGCTTAGGTTTTAATCCGATTATAGCTAGGGGATTAAGTGGATTAGGAGCAAAGTCGATTACACTTAAAACTCATCGAGTATCACAAGGCACGTGACTTAAGGTGAGTTCAACTCTGCTTGATCGAAGACAACTAAGTTAAGTCAGCTGACGTTAAGGCGAATACACGTATTAACATACGTGTTAACGGAGCGGCGGTTTGCTCTGCATCGTGGGAGTTTGCTCTTAAATAAATTTCTCATTTTGCAGATTTACCCCCCCCCGTTACAATGTATGGATATTCAAATTTGTATTTTGTATACAATAAAAGAAATTATTACATAGAAATTAAGACAAAGGTATATATTTAATGTATTTTTATTGTCAAATAAATTATTTATTTTATTAAAAATACATAAGTATGGAAAAATAATCAACCCACGTCGTAATGCCTATTCGAATTTTATTTTTTTGCGTGACTGCAGAATGACAGCATTCTGACGGCACGGCGTGCGTCGCTTTTCGTGCTCCCACTGTACCTGCATTATGATGGCATGCCGTGACGAGCACGCACGTGCCAAACCGTGCCAGCAGTCCAGCACGCTGTGTTATCTGGGAATCGTCTCACACCATAATTTTGTAATAAGAAATTTCTTACATCTACATTGCCCTGTAAACAGAGAGATTACTTTAATTTGACTTCCAGATGACTTTTGAAAGATTCCAGACGTCTTTCCAGATTTCAAAATGATTTCTATACGATATCTTAGAGATATCGAATGTCCACCTTTAAGTCGTCTTGTCGAAGTCTTTTTAGACATCCTAACCCAGATAGCAGCGCATACCGGCACGAAATACGACAGCAAATGCCGGCATGGTATACCCTGTAAACATAAGACGTCTTAACAGACATCTTTGTCTTGTCTTGTGAAAGATGTCTTGATGACAAGTCATAAGATGTCTTCTAGTTGACTCTGAGACGTCTCATTATGAGATGTCGTCACAAAGACCTCTTATAGACGTCTGCAAAAGTTGTTGATTTGATGTCTTAATCAAGACGTCTTCAAGATTTCGCTATTAAGATTTTTATTGTTTCCCCTGTGGGTCATCTCGTGGATATCTTGAAGACATCTCACACTGTCAAAGACAATTCATTTGCGCGCGCGACAACAGTACACGCGTGCATCGCATCGAGTGCACCTCGTTCACAATGTAATCAGGAAAGAATTAATAATCCAGTGCATCGCCTCCAGCAACAGCTGAGTATAATATATTAATATTACTATTCATACCGTACTCATAGTTTCATCAATAATCCACGTAGCTGACTACAATGAGTACGCGAAAAGACTTCTCTAACCTCTCTAATAAACAAAAAAAATGTAGATTAGACGCTCTTTTAATAAAAGATTGTGAAAAGTTGATCTCCAAAGCTCATTATAGCAGTAAAACTTTCAGTTCACTTAATGCTACTAATAAAGATTTTTCAAATTTGAACTCGAATCAAAATCATCATCAACGTAATCTTGAAAATTTTGACATAAATATCCCCGGTGTCTCTGTTACAGAATTCATAACAGAAAGATCTCCTAATTCAATTTGCAATGAAGGTAATGAAAGTCGTGAAATAGCAGATGTAGGTTTTGATTTTTCCGATGATAATGAGAGTAAGTGATTCTCAATCGATATTAAGTGATGCAAGTGATCTCTCTTTAGATTCGAGTCTGAGTTTTGATAGTAATTCTGCGGACGATGATTTATATGAAGTAAACTTTGAAAAAAGTGATAATATATTTGATTCATTTAAAGATTTGAAATCGTTTTTAACTTTTTGGAATAGTCACTATAATATAGCAGAAAATGCTGCAACTTGTTTATTAAAAGGTTTGAAAAAATTTGGCCATGAAGAGTTGTCTGCAGATGCCAGGACTTTGAAGTCAACTGCAAAAAAACTCAATATTTTTAATGTTGAAAAATTAGATTCGGGTGCTTATGCACATTATGGCCTAGAAAAAGCGTTGAAAATTTATTTTGATTGTGTTGATAGGAAAAATATACCAGCAGAAATTCTGTTAAATATTCATGTAGATGGTTTATCTGTTGCAAAAAGTTCGAACAGTCAGGTGTGGCCTATTTTAGGTAAAATAGTCAATTCCAACGTGTTTAGTGAACCGTTAGTCATAGGAGCGTATCATGGGATAGGTGAACCAAAAAATGCGAATACTTTTTTGCAATCTTTTATTGAAGAATATTTGAACTTAAACCAAGAAGGATTCGTTTTTGAAAATCGTCGGTATCATGTTTATATAAATGCTGTTATAGCCGATACAGTTGCTAGAAACTTTATAATGTGTTTTCCAGCACAGAATTCCAGGTGTGGAAAATGTGTTCAAGTAGGTAAGACAGTAAATAGGAGGAGAATTTTTTTAGATAATTTCGCTCTTCCGCGAACTGATGAAAATTTCAGAGAAAATGTTCCAGATAAATTTAAAAATATAATTTCACCTCTAGAAGGAGTAGTTAGTTTACAGTCTCAAGTGCCTCTAGATCCAATGCATCATTTATATTCAGGTGTTGGTTTGAAACATACTAAATTAATTGTAGGAGAAATAAGCAAAGTCAATAACGGTTAATCGAAAATTATGATGAACAATGATTATTGTAACTTACGAGAGTGGGTGCCAAATGATTTTGTTCGAAAACCTAGAAGTTTTGATGATTTACAATATTATAAATTCGGTGAAATGAGATTGTTGGTTTTCTATACTGGCCCTGTTATTTTTTCAAAGTATCTTAGCGAAGAGGCAATGACTCATTTCAATTCTTTACATATAAGAGCTCGCATTTTGAGTGACCAGGAAAAATGTATTCAGTTAAATGAAGTCGCTAAGAGGGAATTCATATTCTACATTGACGAAATGATTCGTCTGTACGGTGAAACGAATGTCATTTATAATGTTCATAATTTAGTTCATTTGCCAGATGATTCCATGCAATTTGGTAGTCTCGATGAATTTAGTGCAGTGGAATTTGATAATTATCTAGGTCTTATCAGAAAAATGATTCGGAACGGTAGAAATGTTTTAGTACAGGTATTGAATAGAGTGAGTGAAAGAGCACAAAATAAACTTGTAGCCAAAACAATGTCAAGTTACAAAAAACTATCTTCTTTTGAATTTGATGTTTTGAGATCAATAGATAATACTGGTCTTCCCGAAGGTTACTTTCATGCTCATGCGATTATTAAATTTTCAACTTATCATTTATCTTGTAAAAAACCCGATAATTGTTGTTATTTGAAAGACAATAGCGTATTTGTGATTAAACATATTTGTAAGAATTCTGATAATGAGGCTGTCATCTTAGGTTATAAATATCTTGATTGCACTTCTGTAGAAAATTATCGAATAGACTCTAAAATATTAGGTATTTATAAAGCAAAAACTTTAAGTAACGATCTAGATGAATATTCAATCAAAAATATAAAATGTAAATGCTTCCGTATGTTTTTCAAGGGTAATTTTTATCTGTTCCCTGTAATTCATACGCAAGAATTCTAGAAGTACTATTTACACATGTGATTTTTTTTTTTACAGAAACATGGCTGATTCGCAAGAAAACTTTGATTCGAAACTATCCAAATTAACTCCAAAACAGCGTGAAGTTTATTACGAATACAGAATTAATAATTTCATTTTTTTTTAGGTAGAACAAGTCCTTACTCAACAACAAAAGGAAATCAGAAAATCCAATATTCAATAACACCGAAAAAGACAGCTCCATACATCAAGAATGTAGAAATCCTGCATCCCTCTATCGATGTTCCGAATTGTACTGTGCAACGACCATCTGTAGTCAATCTTATTCATCAAAATATCAAGTTGCGACCACAAAACGCATGTGAGAAAATCATTTTTTTTTCATGTAGTTATTAGTACTCGTAGATTTTTTTAAAGATTCATTTTTTTTCTCTTAATTTTTCCAGTGAACATTACGTCCATCAGTAACCCCGCATTTTCAGCTACTGATAATCGCGTCAAACTTCCTGCCTCTGCCAGCTTACAATTACTAGGGAAAGAAAGTGTGGACAAAGATCTCGTCTCCACTGTTAGTTTTTCAGGTTCTCAAGTAATAGGTATGTAAAAAGTTAAAAACCTGATGCATTGCACACTTGGATTTGTAAATAACATTTACAATTTTTTTCATTCATAGAAACCAATCATTCTGAGGATATCACTGAAGAAATGCTGATCAATCCACAGTTATTACATACGTCGTCGCCAAATGATAGTCTAGGATGGATGGATGATAAAGATGACACGCAAGTGGATTCTGAAGATGACAGTGCCTGTAATGTCGAAACTTGTCAAGAGGAAGCCGAAGCGGTAGGAACTACACGCCATCGTCACGGCAACGAAACTTCAAATCTTGCAAATGAGCAAGACGAAAACGCACACGTAGATGCACATGTTATAATTGCGAATGCAAGAGGTAGCGACGAGGGTGAATCTAGTAGAAAGAATTTTGAGGATCTGCAACGCCGTGATAACATGTCTTGGCTAACAAAAGAACGCGACCAACTCCATGATGGCGAAAAATGCTGCGGTGAATGAATTGATAATAATTTTTCTTATTTATCATCACTAAATAAATTTTCAAGCTGATCAAATTTGTTACGTATTCCAGTTCAATGCAAAAATGAAAATATGTTGCTGCTATCAAAAGTTAATGAATTGATATTAATCGTCGAAGAAAATAACAACATTCTCAAAAACATTAAACAAAAGAATATTCGCGGCTGCATATGTAGCAGAGAGATTGTTCAAGCCATCCAAAAATTCAATCTCTTACCAGATTTTCCACTTGATGATGTTGCAGAATTGGAAGTTTTCAATGCGAGTTTGGAAACGCAAGAAGATGTTAAAAGCGAATTTGTAAGTTATTCACATGTGAATTGAGTTGATAAGTTTTGTGTACTATTGTTTCTTTAACTATGGTTTTTATAATAATAATTGTAGGTTATGAAAGTATCAATGATAAAAAATAACACACTACAAACCATGATTAGCAGAATCCTACAATCACTGATTACCGATAAATTAGCTAATCGATTAACTTGGTCCATAAAAAATCCAAACAAGCTTAAAATTTGCGACTTGGATATAGTAAAAGTTATCGTAGGTATGTTATCCTGGCTATTATAAACTTGTATGACGAAAGAAGAAAATTGAAAAGCTGATAATTTTTATTGTTATTCTAGATACCCTGCAATCAAACCCTGAAGCTGATTATAAAAACGACGAAAAGATGATGTTATGAAGGAATGGGTCAGAAGATCTTCTGATCGCATCAGTAGCAAAAAGAAGAAGTTATTGAGCAACAGTAGTTTGAGTCAAACTCCTATGTGAACCCCGCGTACAATTATTATATATTGTTTTAAGTTACTTTATTGTTGCATAAAAAATATGTGCCAAAGTTTTACGAGCCGAGAAAGTCTGATTGAAAAAAGCGTTTTCTTTTAAAAAAAAATTGAAAAATTATTCATTAGTAGATAAGCATTCTCTTCCTTAGTGCTTTTTCAGTTTCTTAACTAATGCATAAAAAATATGAGCCAACGTTATAAGAATCAAAATCCAATCGAAACAAGCGTTTTTTTTTTTTTTAATTTGAACAATTAGTCATTGATAGATAACTTAATGTGTGATATCTTATGGAAAAAAATAGTCATTAATATGAAGAGTAGTCTGTTCTTATGAAAAAAATTAATATATCTGTATCAATAACGTGATATTAATTAATGTGATATGAACACTGACTTATAATTAGCTGCGTACTTTTATAAGATATTCAATGAAAAAGAAAAGTATTGTTGTACATGTATAAGATACTTATCATATGTATAAAACTAAAACCGAGCCAAAAATTACAAAGCACAATTAAATTGTGATTGATCTGTACAATAATTTGTAATATCGACGTGCATTTGTACTCTATTGAATAAAAAAAATTTATAATTTGAAATGAATTAAATAATTTTATTTTTTTAATTCCTATTAAAAAGCCTGAAATAAATCAATGAATAAGACGTCTTGATGTTGACTTTATGAAAAGTTTTCAAGGCGTCTAAGAGACATCCAGACAGACATCGTTTAAGACATCGAAATGGATGGACATTCGATGTCTACAGGATGACTTTATGATGTCATTTCTGACGTCTGGGAAGACATCTGATATCTCGAAAAAGACGTCTGGAAGTCATCTTTTAGACGTCTTTTTGTTTACAGATGACAGCAAATTGCCGTCAATGTGACAGCACAAGGTTCGAAAAAAAATACGCGTGCAATATGCTGACATATTGTCGGCACGTATACTTAATTTGAATCCAAATTTTTCGCACCAGCAAAATGCCAGCAATATGCTGTCTTTACATGCCGTTGATAATGTGCCGACAATTTGACAGTAATATGACAGCACAACAGTATTAATTTATCGTTTTAATGAAATTTTTATAACTCCTGCAAAATATTATCTTATTACAATATTTTAATAATAATATTAATAATATGTGATTTTATATAAATATCTACGTTAAATACATTTTAATGTATATCAATTGATATCATGACTGGATTTTGAATTGGCGCCTCACGACATATACAGGGTGACCCATTTTAATCGCTACACCTGGATTTTTCGAATTCCAAGACAGATAGGAAAAAATGGTTCAGACAAAAGTTGTAGGGGACGAAAGGGGCCAAACAATGGTTCTATCAAATTTGACCTTGAACTTGACCTTCAAGGTTATTTCAAGGTCAAGTGGTTTTTTTGAATAGGAACACCTATTTTTGACCCCGGATTCGGAAAGAGCGGAAATTTTCACGTTCAAAACCATATTGAGACATTTTATTCACGGTCATTTCAAAGTCAAATCAATGTCAAACTCCGAAAAATCCATTTTAAGTCGTTTTTTCCACGAGTCACAGGCTTCAGTGGTTCAAATTGATCATTGATTTAAAACGGAAACCCATACACCCAAAACTTTCACATCCTAGTAAACAAAAATCGAACTTGCACATCCGAACCCCATTCTCTTCATAGCCTCACATGCTAAACTGTTACACCAGACATCCCCCAGTTCCACACATTTCTATCCCATGTATGATGTTTGTTTAACGGAAACTTCATGATCATTGAAGCTTCTGTTGTAAATGTGTCAACCTTACGTTTAGCGCTACCCAGAAACAACGACGTGGACGTAGTAAGGACTGTTGCCTTTGGGGTGCTTGAGTGAGTCCCCGTGCCTCTCACTGTTCAGGGTGTTTAATTAAAGTGAGTCCCCGTTCCTCTCACTGTTCGGGGTGCTTGATTCAAGTGAGTTCCTTCGCCTCTCACTTATGTGTTTATCTAGCCTCGAAGCAAATGTTCGAAATTACGACCATTTGCTTCCAGGCACATAGTCAAACGCCTTTGGAAGTGTCGAACGGTGTTTAGCAAAGTTTGCCTTGGAATGGCATCACAAGCTCGACGAATTCTGTCCATCATGTCTAATCTTGTGGTGGGCCTTTCCGCAAAAACGGCATTTTTTAAGTACCCCCATAAGTAAAAATCTGGTGATGTAAGCTCGGGTGAGCAAGTAGGCCATTCAACCGGACCACCTCGACCAATCCATCTGTTACCGTACTGATTATTCAAAAAAGTTCTGACAATTCGAGCGAAATGTGGTGCTGCGCCGTCCTGCTGGAGCCACATTCTCCGTCGCGTTTCTAAGTCAACATCTTCCATCAATACAGGTAGTTCATCTCTTATTAGCGTTAAATACGTGTGTTGATTAACATTTTCTTCGAAAAAGTAAGGGCCAATCAAATATCCATTAATAATCCCACACCATACCATAATACTCCAACGTCTTTGATGGTTTACAGTTCTGACCCAATGAGGATTAACATCAGACCAGTAATGACAATTATGTCTATTCAATTCCCCAACACTTTGAAATTTTGCCTCATCAGAAAAAAGAACAAAATGAAAAAAGTCTGGATCATTTTCTATCATTTGTAAAGCCCATTGACAAAACACAATACGCTGTTGAAAATGAGCAAACTGTAGCTCTTGGACCAGAGTAATATGATATGCATATCTAAGCACCTTCATAATTCTTAAAAATGTACTTTTTGGAATACCGATTTTCCTTTCGACTCGACGAGCGCTTATCTGTGGGTTAAGATGAATTATTGCCAGAATAGTCATAACCCGATTATCATTTTCATCATATTAATGGCGCCCACGTTGACGAACCATGTGTCCACCACGAGCTCTTTGAGTTAAACGTCTGATAGCCATAGCTTCGGGGTGTCGTCTGTCTTGATAGCGTTCAGCATAAATTCTTGCTGCAGCACGATAATTATTTCGGCTTTCTCCTAAAGCCAACGTCATGTCAACGATCTCGTTGGGCGCGTAGTCAGCCATTTCAGAGGCAGCTATTAATTATTATTAAATTTGAATAGTGAAATGCTATAAAAAATAATAATAATTATAATATTCACCCGTATACGGTCACGACCAAAAAAGAAAAATGTTCTTAGATTACGGTAACTTTATCTGACTAAGTGTATTTGCCACAAGTGTTCCGATTGTCACACTTTTGTAATTGTAAGTTTTATAATAAAGTAATAATCATTAAATTATTTCTAATTTGAATTGCACATAATACTAAAACTTGCTTTTATTTTAAATATTGTGAATTATTTCCGTTCAAACTTAAAAAATACTAATATTGATAATGTAATCATTAAAAGCACATTTACAAATAAATTCTGTTCAGTCAAAGATTCTTGTAATAATATCTGAACTGCTGACCGATTTTAATATTTTCCGCACATTTTTAATGTTAAACTTTATTTTTGATAGTTTGATTCTAGAAAAAATAGCTTTGATGCTTTTTGTACAAAAAAGAAATGTTGCATATTTATTGTTTCGAAAGTTATGACTATTCTTTTTAAACAATCACATTATTTACAGCTCATATCTTCAATTTTCTCATAACTTTCGAAAAAATAAATAAAGATACAACATTTCTGTTCTTACAAAAAGCATCAAATTAGTTTTTTATAAAATTTACAATTAATAAAGTGTGACAAATGTTTTTCTTTTTTAGTCGCAACCACATACAGGCGAATATTATAATTATTAATATTTTTGATACCATTTTACTATTTAAATTTAATAGTAATTAACGGCTGGCTCTTAAATGGTTGACTATCAGCCTAAAAAGGTTATTGACACGACGTTACTTTTAGGAGAAAGCTGAAGTAATTATCGTGGTGCGACAATCGGAAATCAGTATTTCAAGGTAGAGGCGAAGGGACTCACTTAAATCAAGCACGCCGTACAGTGTGAGGCGAAGGGACTTACTTTAATTAAGTGATGTAACTAAATCTACGATCAGTTTGAACCACTTAAGCCTGCGATTCGTGGAAAAACGACTTAAAATGGATTTTTCGGAGTTTGACCTTGATTTGACCTTGAAATGACCGTGAAAAAAATGTCTCAATATGGTTTTGAACGTGAAATTTTCCGCTGTTTCCGAATCCGGGGTCAAAAATAGGTGTTCCTATTCAAAAAAACCACTTGACCTTGAAATAAACTTGAATGTCAAGTTCAAGGTCAAATTTATTAGGACCATTGTTTGGCCCCCTTCGTCCCCTACAACTTTTGTCTGAACCATTTTTTCCTATCTGTCTTGGAATTCGAAAAATCCAGGTGTAGCGATTAAAATGGATCACCCTGTATATAAGCTTTATGTGGAATTTTTGAAACAATAAAAAACAATTGACATACGTACTTTCTTATTGAAAATCGAGCATGTGCGTTACAGCAGCGTGTTACAGATAATTTTATGTGTTAAACGTGCAACTATTTTTAGTGATCATTAATTTATTTAGTGAATTTTGTATCAAGGAGATCGAGTTTCAGTGTAGTTTTATAACAATTTAAATTGAACTGATATATCATCAAAAAGTGCACAAATTTCCAGGAGGAGTTGAACATCATGGCAAGTTTATTAAAGTTTCTTTCATATTAATAATAACACAGGCCTGCAAGGTTTTGTTCTTTTACAACTTACGGTCATTTCCGAAGTAATTTTTGGCGTAGAATTAGAATCCATCGTCAGAATTGCTTCATCACGTCAGGTTTTTGAGTAATCGTCCCCTAAAGGTCGAAAAAACACGTTTTTTGGCCATATTCAAGGCTTGATTACATCGTGAGTTTATATTCTTTTCAAAAATGGTTGACGGCATCTTAAAGAAGCACTCTTACCCTTCAAAACCCATTTTTCAAATTTAAGATATCATTTTTTTTCATCAAGATATCATCAATTGAAGTTTGCCATTTTTAAGGTTTCACCATGAGCTTCGGCCAATTTTCCTGGAAGAATACGATATATTTCTTAGTTTTTTTGGATAATGATTCTAGAATCATTATCAAAAATGGGTTTTGAAGGGTAAGAGTGCTTCTTTAAGATGCCGTCAACCGTTTTTGAAAAGAATATAAACTCACGATGTAATCAAGCCTTGAATATGGCCAAAAAACGTGTTTTTTCGACCTTTAGGGGACGATTACTCAAAAACCTGACGTGATGAAGCAATTCTGACGACGGATTCTAATTCTACGCCAAAAATTACTTCGGAAATGATCGTAAGTTGTAAAAGAACAGTGACGACTCTCTATTTTGCAGGCCTGTGTAATTCTTGCTTAATCAATTTATTTCAATTTTTAATTAGATAATAAGTTACTTTTTCATTTTATTCTTATTCTTTATTTTAGTATTTATTTCTAATATCAAATACCTATTCTTTGAATAAATCTCTTTCTACTTTATTTATTTATGTTACATTATCTCAATGAAAACATACAATATATACCTATCGATGAAAAGAGATCATTAATTCTATTTAGATTCTCTTCTTTAAGTGCATTCTCTTCTGATAACTAACTTGGAATCCTATTTTTCACTTTCCAATTTCTAATGAGTAATGTACATATCGAATAGATCAAAACATTTTCTTTATCTTATTTAAAGCTATTCATTCTTTCCTTATAAAAGTATTGATTCATTGATTCAAACACACTATTAGAAAAGTTTTAGGAAATAATTATATTAAATTATTATATTATATTCTAATAAATTATTCTTTGTATTCTATTTCCTCAATTTAAATTTTCTCACTGTAAATGTGAAATAACTATCGATGAAAAGAGATCATTAATTCTATTTTGATTCTCTTCTTTAAGTGCTTTCTCTTCGGATAACTGACTTTGAATTCTATTTTTCACTTTACAATTTCTCATGAGAAATGTACATATTTGATGGATGAAAACATTTGCTTTAACTCATTTAACGCTATTCATTCTTTCATTACTATAAAAGTTTTGATTCTTTGTTTCAAAACATCTATTAGGAAAATATTAGAAAGTTATTATATTTAAATTAGCATATCGATGAATAAAGGTCATTGATTCTATTTATATTCTCTAATTTAAGTGCATTTTCTTTGAACGACTCACTGTGAATTCAATCTATTCATATTATATTTTCTAATCAGAAACATATAAATATCTATTTGATAAAAAAAGTTTATACTTATTTTGTTTTCGTTCCCTTCAAATTCATTTTCTCCTATACCTTAACTATTTATATTCTATTTTATTTAAATTAGAGTAATTGTGAAATATTATTTGAGTTATTGAAATATTATTCAAATTTAAACATTATTTTTAATTTTAATTAGTTAATTTCAATCTTATAAAGCTACATATTATACATATATTTTTTTTATTTAATATATTTTTTATTTATATATCTATATTTAAGGATTGATTATACACACACACACACACACACACACACACACACACACACACACGCACACCTCTTTATAATAATTATCTATTCATTTATCTATAATTTTATTTTTATTTATGGAAAAGACATTATAGTTCTTCTTTTGTTGCAATTATTTTTTGAAGTCCCTCAACGAAACATTGCAGTATATTTACAATATAATTGTACGTTTGTTCTTATAAGTTAATTGATTCGTACTCATACAGCATACCATTTAAAGTTAAAAGGTAATTTGTTTTTGAAAACTTTGTTCAACAAATGGAGAGTGCTAATAATAATATATTTAAAAGATAATTAATTAAATAATCTTTACGCGCACTAATTTTTAATTTATTACTAATTCTCATTCGTTCATTAATTTCTTGATTACAATTATCATTAATTAAATACATTTTATTGGGTGGTTCTAGGTCGTGTAAGTATCGAATATTATAATTATATCTCATTCATTTATTGAATTCTATTTCCTCTTAAGACTTTATTTTACATTTAACTTTTTTGATTGCATATTTATTCTAGTTAATTAAATAAATCTTGTAATCTCATTCATTTATTTATTGTCTGCAAATTCTGAATACGTTTCTTTTTGAAGCTTTGACATTGGTCCTAACTATTTTAAATTACGATTGTATGTCAATACTTTTTTAATCATTCGAACTATTTTAAATTACGATTGTATTGTCAATACTTTTTCAATCATTCTGTTGATTAAAAATTTTTCTCTGAATTCATTAGAGTTTCCGTACAAAAAAAATGTATAGATTGAAAAGTCTCCGATCTCGTAAGCCATTAGAAGATTGTACACCCGATCATAGAACTCGTATAGAAAGATTATTTAAAAGAGTTTCGGAAAATAAATCAAAGGAAGTTAAATCTCTCGAATGTTTAGAATCTCTGGTTGATTGTTCTTCACTCCCCGTTCCCTTTGATAACGACTGTCATTCAAATTCATTCCTAGAAGGCAACAGAGAAGTTCTTTTTAAATGTGATGAAAAAATTGGTGAATTGGATGAAGAGATAGCTGTGAATCCTCGTCCAACATTTTTCGTTGATAATAATGATTTGGCTAGTGATATTGATTTCGAATCAACTAGTAGTTATAGTGACGACGTTAAAAAGATGGAAAGTAGACTTGCAACTGTATTTTCTGAAGAAAATGCCACACATATTCAAGCGAAAGCTATTTTGAAAGTGATCAAAACACACCATTGCTTTTCAGATATTGATGTAGATCCTCGAACAATTTTGAAAATTTCTGCTTGTGGAATAACTTCTATAAAACAAATCGGTGGAGGAGAATATTTACATCTAGGCGTCGAAAAAGGTATTATCAGAATTCTGTTATCCATTCCTTTCAACGAAATTTCCGACATTCTTCAGTTAGATTTCAGTACAGATGAAGCATCTCTAGATAAAAATAGTAAAATCTTGATGTGGCCTATTCAAATTCGTATAGCTAATATTCCCAGAAGTTCCCCAGAGATCGTATCCATTTTTAAAGGTTCAAGAAAGCCTTCAAGTGCTTTAGAATTCGTTAAGCCGTTCGTGGAAGAATTGCTTCATATTCTTCAAAATGGTATCAATTTTGATGGGAAAATTATATCGATTGGATTGCGATGTTTTATAGCTGATGCACCAGCTCGAGCTTTTGCTCTCGGTCATCGCGGGCATTCTTCTTTTGCACCCTGCTCTCGATGCTGGATTAGAGGTAGGTGGATTCGGACAGGTGTGATGGTTTACGAGGGTACAAAAAATGCACGTCGAATAGAAGAACAATATTCTTCAAGGATTGATGCTGATCATCATATAGGTATAACATCTCCTCTAGGTGCTCTCCCATTTAATTTCGTTTCAAACACCGTCTTCGATTATATGCACTTAGTTTGTCTCGGTATCATGGAGAAAATTATTCAAGCTATTGTAGATGGTAGGTTCATCACATCAGCCAAGATTTCTTCAGATCAACTTAAACTATTAGAACAAAGATTCGAACAAGTAAAAATATACTGTCCTCAAGATTTTGCTCGGAAGCCTGTTAATGTTTTCAAACATCATAAATTCAAAGCGATCGAGAATCGACAAATAGTTTTTTATAGTGGCCCTGCTCTGTTTTATGGTTTCATGAACCCGGCTGTTTACAAACATTTTCTTTTATTTCATGTAGCTATGAGGCTTCTTGCGGCTCCTTCGTGTACCTCCGATTCGATTGATTTTGCTGAAGAATGCATCAATATATTTGTAGAGACTGCTGCTAATGTCTATGGTATAGAATTTTTATCATATAACACTCATGCTTTGACTCATCTTCCCGACAATGTTCGAAATTTTGGAGCATTAGATAACTACTCTGCATTTCCTTATGAGAATAATATGACATATTGTAGAACATTATGTAGGAAACCAAGCCAACACTTACAGCAGATAGCAAGGAGACGGTTAGAGAATTGTCAAGTGAATGCGAAAAAACATGTCGAAAAAAATGTTTTGAAATTTATCGGTAAACACTCGTTAGGTCCAGAACCGTCTGTTGATTTTCGTTTCAGTTAGTATAGAAAAGTTGTATGTGGTATTCATTTATCTCTTTTACAGCAAGATAATACAATTATTTACAAAAATGGTTCCATATGTATCATAGAAAATATAATCAAATTGGCAAATAATGATTGTTGCCTTCTCGTGAAGCTTCTCAAGAATATTGAGAATTTTTTCAGTTTACCTTGTAATTCTACTTTAGTTGGGGTTTTTTTATGCTCAAATTTATCATCTGAAAGCAGATTAATTGGTTTCGATGAAGTGCAAAGTAAGGGTTTCAGAATGCCATATTGGCAAGGAATACCCACGTCTATTTGTATTTCCGAATGTTTTATTGTTGTCGAGATTTTGTCTTCGCATAATTGCATGTTATATGCATAAGATTTTACTTTTTAAATTCATTCAATTCTTGTTCTTATATGGCTGCACTAAGATTGCGGAGGGGTTTATTAACGTTTTTGATTATCTTAGTTTCCATCAATGAAATTTGTACTGATTTCCAAATATATGTATAAAAAGGTGTATTTTTATTTCTTCCTTTGTCATATCTCTCTCAAGTCTACATCGACATATTTTTGTCTCAAAGTTTAAAATTTCATTCATCAATTACTAAATCTTACATTTGGATATAACTTTGATATGTCTCCATCAATTTTTCATCCTTTCTTTTCTCATTTTCATGTTTCTAATCGTAACTCCTGATACAATTTATAAAATTCGTTATTTTTTTGCTATCGTATTTGTTACCATTGAATTTCAAGATGAACAAGCGTTCGAGTTCGAAACATTCTGGTGGGTTGAATCCAGAAATCGTTTCAGCCGCCGATATGGACCGGAAAATGTTGGCAATGAAGGCTAAATTAATGAAAGTGCCAGCACCAAGCAAAACATCGTTTGGACCCAACGTTTGTAGGAGATCTTCCAGCCAAGGAATGAAGACACCAAACACGCAACAAAAAACACAAACAATTGCACATACTCATTCACTGAACACACCACAAACAGGACAACTGAAACATTCATACCAGACTTACACACGAAACGTCCATCAAAAAGCATTCAGTCAAACATCAATCGCTCCAACAGCCACAGTTACACAGCCTTACACACCAAATATTCATCAAAAATCATTCGCTCACACAGCCACAGTCGCACAGACTTGAAAACCAGTAATCCCATGTAAATAATTCATTCAAATCTCAGGCAAAAAACAAGGACACACGAAAACAAAAAAGCAAACACAATCATCCACACTGATTCATACACAATTAACACAACCCGAACATACACCCATTACACAACGACAAAGACGCTCGCAAACATTTACCCCGGAATTGACATCAAGACTGCTACCACCATCTACCATCTTGTCAAGCAGTGAGTTCATCATGGATGTAAGTAAGTAAATCTATTAACATCTATGAGCATATATTTTTTGCCAGACATTTGATATTCAAACTTTCATAACTACAAGTATTATGAGTATAAGGGGTACATTTTTGTAAGCTTATAACATTATATTTATTCTTATGCATTTGAATATTAAATGTCTAAAAAATATATACTCTTAGGCTGTTAAAGGGCTTACACATATTTTTAAATATACTCATTTAAAACTATATTTGCTAGACTCATTGTTAGACAAGCAGCAAGGTGAAATGCAGAACCCGGCATTAATACAAATTTTTAGAAAAAATTAAGTAAGTTAAATTGAACACATTAATATATCATTCGAAACCAATATAAATTAATAAAGTATTATCAATTTATAGCGAAAATCTAGTTCAAGTGAAAACTGAATTGTGGTGTGTTCAATATTTAATAATTATTTGTTTTATTCCAATTGATGAAGAAACCATAAAAAAAATATCACTTTTTCATTACCAGATTTACCAATGAGCGTTTGACAGCCGTTGAAAACAGCCAAAAGTATATTTTCTGAACAATTAATTATTACATTCATGTTAATCTACTCATTACATATAATTTCTTATTCTTTATTATATCTCAGCGAGATCTTGAAGACATTGAGGAGGTCGAAGGCTCAGGACAGGACCTCTTTCAAAAGTAGACCTGGATGTCTTCCGTTTTATACACTGGATGAACTCAAAGCCTTCGATAAAGTGACTGATGAGGTGTACGACCATGTGGTGAGTTTTATTCACATACGCTATTTGGAACAAGATATTATTTGCTACTATGGGATTTTTTGTCTAAATATTCCATCGTCATAGGTCAATTATTCGGCTTACGTTGGCGGATACAACTCAACCATGTCAGCGGCAAAATGTACTATATGCAGGAAGGCTTTGAGTTCAACCAAGAATTCTGCAATAACATGACCTGGCATGGGGCAAGTTCCAGAAACATTTTTGCCCTGAAAGATACTCGATTCGCATCTGCGTGCGAAGGTAACAGTTTTCTCTTAAAAAATCTATTATTAGATGTTTATGATATAATTCAATTCTTATTTAAATAGACTTTAAGAGAAAGGACAATATGATTTAATAACAATCTTTTTTTTATTGAAACTTTAAACTTACTATATACAAGCCTATTTCGCTATAGAAAAGGATCATTAACATATATACATAGTTTAGCATTATATTTTCAAATTACAATTCTTTAAGAACGTAAGAATATATTTATACGCTTCGATATTTTGTTTTACGATGAGTGACTCGATACATAGCGGTAGTTGAAGTTTTAATTTGAATAATGCTTTTAGAAGTAATGTTCTTTGAATATCATAAAGACTCATTGCCAGACTACATGATTTATATTTTCGGATACTTTGCCACATTTGCAAAGTGGGCTATTAATAACAACGTTGATTTTTGCGAGTGGCTCAGCCATGTAATAGTGATTAGCTCTTGCTCGATTAATTATTACAATTAAATCTCTAGGTAGTTTGTTCTTTAAAAACCAGGGTCTCTATGTTTTTTTATAATACAATTAAAAGTATTTGGTACCTTTAATAGTGCCTAGTGCTTTAATAGTATTATCTGTTGTGTCAATCGCTCCTTTGTGAATACAATAGTATAGATCGGAAAAAGGAATCTTATTAATTTGTGGACATTTTTTTCGTTAGCTTTTTTAGCAAGAGCATCAACCACCTCATCACCAGAAATACCTGAGTGTGCTGGAATCTAGTAAAATTTTAACTTAGAGGAGGGATATTTCATTTTAAATATTTCATATTGAAATTTCATTTATCTTTTAATAAATGAATTTTTGAATATTTTCGTAAGAATATTAAATTATTAAATATTAATTAATAATATGTAAATGTGTGTCTTCATAATCACACGTTAAATTGGTGAAAATCAAGTTTTCATAAGAATATATCTTCTTTTAATTAATGTTAGGCCAGATGTTTTCTAGATCGAGGCTACCATATATTTATGCATATGTTACGTCCCGAGACGTAACTATTTCTTCATTTTTATTTCATCAGCAATCAATTGAAAAATGAAATAATGTATAAACAACGAACGGCATTTTTACAAAATACAAACTCAGCGAAATTAAAAGATGAGTAGTCCGAAAATTTGGGGCGCCCGACATTTTGATTTTTTGATTACTCAACACATTAATATGGGCCGAAGAGTCAATATAAAAACAGAAGGCTCGACTATTCGGCAGTTGATTCGCGACGCGCGACTACTCAATAACATTAAAATTTGTTAAAGTTCTTACGGGCTGATTCGCGACGCGCGACAGCCGAACAACGTATAATTCACCTACTGTTTTTTTTGAGAAACCATTTCTGTCATTGAATAAATAAATAATTACTTAAATCGAGTGTTCGTGCATCATTACCGACCGACCTCATATTGTTGTTAATTTATAAAAAATATTGTTATCAAGATAAAGCTAAACAGCCAACTTAACTCGAAATAATAACCCAGGTAAGTTCCTGTCACTATAATATTTACTAATAAATGAATGATCATACATATTTTAAAACTACACGTCACGGCTACGTAGTCGCGACATAACACATATATAATTACAAAATAAACTTTTCAAACAATTTTCAGATTCTATGGCGGTCAACAGCAAGATGCTGGACAAACCAGGTAAAGAAGAGTTTGCTTGGGCAATAACGAAGGCTCTGAAAAGCTCTAAAGAGAAGGCGAATAGAAAACTCAAGAGGCAACGTGAGGACCAGCGGGAGGACATTCGTCAACCACCACGCAGACGACATCGGTTCAATAATGACAGTGACACTGCCAGCATTAACGACGGTAATAATAACGACAATGACAATGACAACGACAACGACAACGACAATGACAATGACAATGACAACGACAACGACAACGACAACGACAATGACAATGACAATGACAACGACAACAACGACAACAACGACAACTACAACGACAACTTCAACTACAACTATAACTTCAACAATGACAACGACAACGACAACGACAACGTCAACGACAACGACAACGACAATGACAATGATAACTACAGCGACAATTACAACTACAATTTCAATGATAACGGCAACAATTACGGTAACAGCAACGACAACAACAACGATAACGATTTGAACTACAACTGTAACAATAGCACTGACAATAATAATGATGACGATGACAACAACGATAACAATGACAATAACTTAAACAAGACCTTATATGACATTGAGTTTGCTGATGAGGAATCGGAGCTACAATATCGTGGTTTGCTATATAAATAGTTATTATTTTATTATTATAGTAATAGTAGTAGTATTTTATTGCTCGTGTATAGCCTTTCGCCCGTTCTCTGCCTATGTTTCCACATCTTATTCTCGCCCATTGTTCTTTTATCCATCCCGGAGTCATCCTGTCCCTTCAATAAGCCTCTTCCCGCACAGTCTCTTTCAGTTTTTTATAAAGTTCGTTGTAAGCTGACCCGTTTATTTCGCCTCACAAACTTTGTAGTTCTTGTTCTGTCTTTCTTTCTAACCCATTCTTTAATTTACCCTTTATTTTTTCTACTTCTTTTTTGTCCCATATCATTTTTAAGGTTTCCCCATCCCCTACCCCTTCCAATAGTATTAGCACCCTCTTTCCCCATTTCGTCGGGTTCTTATTTAATATGTTCCTTACTTCCTCCCTCAAACAAATTTTTTGGCCATCTCCCTTCTTCTATTTTTTCTATCTCAACTAAATACTACATTGCCCTCCTAGCTGTCTGTAACTCCATCGATGCCCTACTTGCTTCCATGGCAACTATATAATTTGGCGTGTTAATATTTAATCCCATGGCCATTTTTATAAACTTCCTTAGTACCTTCTCTAGATTTTCCCATTTCTACCACCCCCAAATCTCTACCCCATATAAACATCCCGCTTTTATTATACTGTCCATCAAGTATAGTCTTTTCCTTAGGTTATCTATTTTTGCCCTTTTTAAAATATCCCACACCGCATTGATTGTCCTACTTGCTTTCTCTGCTATTTTATTTAAACGTGTCGTGTTCACATTTTTTGGAGTGAACCAATACCCCAAGTATTTAAATTACTTAACTACCTCCACCTTTCTGCCTTTATATGAAAAGTTTTTCTCTTACCTATTTTTCCTTGACAACAAATCATTATCTTTTCATCAATTTCATCATTATCTTTCAATCATTTTCTGTTTTCTTTGCAACTAAAAAAATCAGTTTTTCAGGTAAGCGGTCGTTTACATTTTGTTATTGTTCATTTTATAATTTTAATTAGCATTATAACCAGTTTTTATTTATACAAAATGTAAGAGATCGCTGGAAGGGCCTAAAACGAGGATGGACCTCACTGAGTCAGGCGAGGTCGGGGCCTTTCTCACAACTAAAACAGAAAGTTTCTTTCAGATGGTATCCGGAGAAATAAAAATTTCATGGACAATGACGTATAATCAATATAAATCAGTCTCAACGTGATGTAGTTTGGTAATTAATTCTTTCTAAAATCATAATAAGCATTAATGAAAATTTGTTTTTAACTTGATATTGTTTTTCCATGTCACAATGTTTTCGTTGGAGAGGCACATTTGAACAAAAATTATATACAGAATGAAATAGAAGTATCGTAGTACGGTAAGATTGAATAATTATATTAAATTTAATAAATTTCCGTAAAATAAACGAACGCGGCTAGTTCAAATTTATGTTAAGGTGGCTCCACCAAATTTTCATTTGTGACAGAATTGAACAATCATTTTCATACAAGTAGTATTTTGCACAAGCTTTCGGATGCCGGAAAAACAAATGGATGTTGCCGAACTAAGATATGAGAAATAAATTATTGAAATTGACCTGTCATGTATGGATTAGGAGGTTATAGTAGCGCATCCACATATGCCTTAATCATTTTATGAAGCCGTGATAGATTCTTTCAAAAAACTAAGTCCTTGTACAATAACACTTTTTGAAACTATATCCGTCAAGAAAAATACTGATCACCGAAATAATAAGAAAGATATTTAATTGCAAACATCGAAAAATATGATTAATTAGTAACGGTGAACTGCACGTATGAAATACGGCAACGTTGTAAAGTCAGTAAAGACGGTTTCATACTCGTATTTACAGTCACTGCACATGATAAGTGGATATATGTTAATGATAATTAGAAACATTATTTGGAGATGTTGTAGATTATTATAAGTTGAATGTTATGAAATATTTGTGTTAATAAATAAGAGACCAATTATAAAAAAGCAAAAAATTTTTAATTGTATTCTTTCTAAAGTAGTATTATAATTTATGTTAACATTCAATATTTTTATTATCGAGTGAAGCATGTTTAGTAACAAAAAATTGTTTTTAGTAAATTAAATAATGTTTTTTTCAATAATACTTTTTTTATTGTACTATAACGAGCGGTCAGACCCTCGTTATGTCTCTCTCTCCCCACACATAATTATAATTATTTATATATATATATATATTTGTCATATAATTATCTCACTTGTGTGGCAGCCAAAGGTAAGTCAGAGAGAGCGCTAATAGAGGGCGAGCTAGAGAGAGAGAATTCGGGAGGCCGGCGCGACGCGCGCAGGTAGGAGAGTGGGGCAGGAGAAAGCCCCGCGATAAGAACTCTCTCTTGTACCGGCGACTTCGAAGTACGTGTGACGAGCGGATATACGTGCTTGCGACCTTTTGTGATCTGCGACTATTTCCTTGGTGTTTCTGGCGAGTACGCGAGTGCCCACTCGGTGTGAGGTTTGGTGCCCAGATTGCCCAGTGTTTTGGTGAGCTAATTCCAGCGACTACGCGTGCGAGCCTTCAAAGCCGCCCGCCTCTTGTCCGCATTCGAGTTGCGTACTGCGCGTCCTCGCGGACCACGTGCGAGGCCGAGAACACTGTCTCCAGGGCTGACTCCAAGATGTCATTGTAAGTACCACCTCGAATACGTGTCTCTCTCGCTAGCTTTTTGCCGCTCTCTCTCCCGCTTACGCTGCATACTAACTTTGTACTATTCTCTGTAGTAAACTCAATGCTGCTCGTATATCTGTTTTCTTCCTCTGCGCTTCCTTTTTACCTATCGTAAACAATCCCGTTCCGTCCGGCTTTCGCACCTGAATTTCGTGATCGCTCCAAAGCGCCCATAGGACTACACGACGCTCTCCGCGGACCAAGGTAACGGACGCTGCACCACGACGTTCCTGTTGCTGCTGGGTTAGGCTTTGCGCAGCCTATTACGAGGCCCACACCGAGCTGTTTCTAATTCTCTCGTAAATTATATAACGAGTGACCCGCGCTGGGTCAAAACCCCGTTATAGTACTATGCATGACAATTATAATTGTTCGTACATCTGAAACGTAATACAAAATTTTAAATCAACTATATAAAATTAAAAGTTCTCAACATTTTTTTGAATATTTATGAAATCAATAAATATATATTAATTATATTTGAAATAACCAATCTCGTTTATATAACGCAGTCAGTTATTTACATCTAGACTTTTCAATTTATCAAAAATTGTGGCAATTATTCTCTTATTCGTCGTTACTCGAGGCTTTTTATCTACTGTTCCTCCAAGTATAAGTGTTAAAGCCTCGTACCCATAAGTACCCATACCAGTCTCATAAGTTGTTTTTAAAGCTTGAAAATCAATTCCGGCTTTTGATATTTTACTAGTCATATTACTTGATAATTCTAATACCTGCAAGCTCTCTTTTAAAGTTTTAATTTTTTCATTACGTTCTTTTGTTTTCAGAATATAAGTTACACTTTGTATATTCTTCAAAATAATATTACTATCTTTACAAATCAACTGTAATAGTTTTTGCAGCATTATCACATAGCATTATGTGCTACTAATCTCTCAGACTGTGGTAAATGTTGTTCGACTAAATTAGGCTGACTAAACGATTCTTTTTGAGCCAATTGTTCCGATAGTGCTTCTCGAAACATTACAAGAGAATCTCCGAAACCTTTTACAAAAAGCATTGATTTTTTTTCAGTGATAAAGCTTAAGCCAATTTAATTAATCTTGACGCATTGAACCTAAAATAAAATAATGTATCATACATGTGAAGTATATAACGAGTTGTGTTTTTCGTATTTATAGAATCCATAGAATTAGGCAATTATAAGATATAAAGATACAAGGAGATTTTTGCATTTTGAGAAAATACAAAAATTAATGAACCCATCCTTAGCAGAATATGTTTCCACAATTTCATTGAATAAACATAAGGTGCCATTCTGTAATGTAAAATCTGTCGTTTCAGATGCCTCCAGTGATATGTCTCGAAGAGGTTTTATGCAAAATTCGAAAGTACTATCTCCGCATTTAGCAGCAATCTGCAATAACGTTAATGATAATGAAAACGTACAATATTTTATTTTGTTGTAATACATTACCTGAATTATTTCATCAGTTAATCGTAGCCCAGCAGTTTCTGTGTCGAATACGACAATACAGCAGTCTTTATAATCCACAGCATCTATATTATACAAAAATACACGTTAAAAAGATAATAAAAATTGTATTGTAACTTAGTTATGATTGTTAAATTCTATCTGGTAAAACAGTTTCATCTATAAGATCCGATGTACTCAAATAACCCATTCCTGATTCGTAAGATATGCCTTCTTTATTTATAGATTTTGAATGTGCAGATGACCTTTCGTATTTCAAAATCATCCTTCTTCTTTTTTATATGAATTGATTTCTTACGAATTGCATCGTATTCTTTTTTTTTATTTTTTTCCTTTCTGTATTTGTTAGTGTATTTACCCGGAGATAAAGTTAGTTCAACGAACAGAGTACTAATGAATTCAAAATCTAGATCTATTGGCAATACTGAGATATTAACTCTAAAACGATGTGAATCGCTTGCTCTAAAATATTTCGATTTGAGGTACTTATTAGTAACAATAAAATTAAACGACTTGTTACTCTGACTAGATGCACATGAAGCAATTTGCTCAGAATTTTTTATAAATGATTCCATCGCTTTTTCTAAATTTCTTTTCATTGTAGGATCACACAAGCACTTCCCATCTTTAAAATATTTATAGAAATGAACGTTTTGTTCATCTCTGACGCACTAAGCCAGGCAATTATTATAGACTCCAAACGCATAAGGTATCAGATTTTGCAAAGCTGATTTGACATCATCAGCATAGCTCTCGGCCTAGTGCATTTAATTCCACTATTCGCCGACCACCATGTACATAATGTTTTTCAGTTTCCTGTAATTATATATATTTCAATCTG